GGTGTTTCTTACACCAAAAAGTTTTTTTTCATTTTTCTAAAAAAAAAAAAAAAAAAAAAAAAAGTAACTGAAGATATTTTTAAAAATACATAGGACATGATTTGACAGCTGGAAAAATTTTCCTGTAAACTTTCCATTTCTAGAATCTACAAAGAAATTCAAAAAGTTCTTGTTTCCTCCGCAAGAAAAATGCCAGACTGTAAAGGTTCATGATCCCTAGATTTAACACTGAATAAAATTTGAAGTGGTTAAAAAGTACCAAAAAATAAAGTGCATATCTCTGTCAAAGATTCTGAATAACTACTTCAACAAATTACAGAGAAAAAAAAAAAAAAAAAAGGAAATTGCTTTTACTGAGGTATTTAAACCCAGGCAGACACCATTCTGGAATGGATGTAAATAAATACATGGGAAAGGCAAATGTAGGTGGACTAGCAGAGCACTACTGTTTTACAGCAAGGATCAAAACATTTAAAAATATTAATTCAGGATCATTGTACTGATCCCCTTACATGAATTTTTCATAACTTCATTGAGCAAAGTTGCAGAAAACAAAGATAACGAGCTCTAAAGGTAGGAAGGAGGGCATGACTGCAATTTTTGAAATAACTCTATTGAAAAGTTATCCTCTTTGTCCTCATCAAAGTTCTCAGAATCTGAAGATCCAGAGGGCAGAGGATTCCATCCATCATCAATGTCTCTCTTACCACAGGGTGACTCTTCCTCTGGGTGCTCTTATTCCTTGTCCTTGTTCACAAAAGGAGCTTAGATTAAGTGGATAACTATTAACAGGCTGAGATTAACTGATGTAAGTCCATCTCCACTAGCCGCCACACTCTTACTTCGTTCCCCTTGAGATCACTATCACTTTGTTTAGAAGATAGGTTTTTATTATGTATGACCAAATTCGAACTTGAGAGTCTTCTTAAAACATTCTTTACTGCATAACATGCGGCTCACAGGAGAACTTTGGAATGCGTAACATCCTTGAACAATTTTTAGAGTCCTTAAACATCCCGAGAAATGACAGAGGTGAAGGGAAAGTCTCGTGCAAGAACTGTATATGTGTTGGTTTAGTTTATAAACTGCTTCTTGTCACTATCATCATCTTGGGCACAGAGAACTTTAGGATGACAAAGGATATTCTTAGAGATTCGCCATCATTTCCAGCCATCACATCCACCATGAGACCTCAGCTGCCACAATGGAGCCTGACTGCTCCTCTGTTACCTTTAAGAATTTCGTAATATTCCGTAGCATTCCTTAGCTCCTTATTCCTTCTTACGTGTTATCCAAACCAATGTTCTTCACTCAGTCCCTAGGCTTTCCTGCTTCAAAACTGACCCTGTGATTTCCCACCCGATTCACATCTCTCTGTGACCAGTTCCTCCTGGGCTTGCAGATGTTTGCTCCAGCCATTTCAGGACCTTGGAGCAGAGAGCACAGCTGAATTTCCCCAGGCTGCCGGAAAACCAAATTTCTCTGTCATTGAGATCACAGGCCTGCAAGCACAGGCTTAAGTATACATGGATAAAAAACAGGCAAAAGCGAGGCGATTGCGTGCGTAAAGGAATTGTGTGGGCTACTGTTTCCTACCTTAGAGACAGCCAGTGGTCGCTTGTCAGTGGGGAAT